AAAATTTGTAATACCATATTGATATATATTTATTTTAATGATAATTTATTAGTTATTACCATATTTTTAAAATATTTCAAAAAATATAAATCGACATTAAATGTAATATATGAGTTGTTACCATATTCTATAAAGTTTTTCAAAAATATATGTTAACATTAGATGCAATTGTCCATGTCATATTAATCATATGTCATGTCATCAATTCTAGTAGACATGTCACCATTTTTTTGTGAAACCGATTTTAGAGAGGACATGTGGCAAAATCAATTCACAAATAATGTATAAGGGATATTTACACATTTTATGCAATAACCCATAAAATGTAAACGTATAACCATCATTGTAACGTGATAATATATAATTTCATCCAAGACAACTATTATACGTAATTGCATGAAAATATCGCAGTTTGTAAAAAGTAAAAAATAAAAAATAAAAAATAAAATTAATAGAACTTTTGTAGTCTTTATCTCATGTCTATTAACTTTGTTTGTATGTGACATATGTAATTTGATATGTTATCCTAGAAAAAATGATAAGTTGTTGTATGATATAGGAAATATAGCTAAAAAATATTCTCATTTATATTCTTTCAGAGTTTTTTAGAAGATTATTTTTTGGGTGATTAAGGAAAATCTTATTATATAAAGAAGAGTTTTCTTCCCTCCTATAATGCCATGTCACTAATTTAAGTGATGAGGACCCGCCACGTGTCCTCCTTAAAACGTTGTGTTTCATTAAATTTGTTATATGGAATGCGTGATGGTTTGGTTTGGGCCTGAGTTTAAATTATTAGGCTCAACATATGTCGTCCTTAGCCTTTCTTCCTCTTGGTCACTCCGCCGTCAACGAAAACCTTCACCAACCCTAACTCTTCACTCAGTCAAAAGACTATTGAATTGTTACAAAATAAGGATGAATGAAGCGTCATATTGAACGTGTTCATTAACCATTGCTTTCCAATTTTCCCATGGTGTTTGAATGCAACCCCTCCTTTTCAAAATCTTCAACTATAAAAGATAAGTTCTTCTGTGTGAAATTCATCATCCTATCTTAAGTTTCGTAATAGGTGGGAACTGTAGAGCCAATGGTTCTTCATGGCTGTGTCGGAGATCTCTTCCCAAACGGAAAACATATCACCGCATAACTGAAATTTCACGCTGAGTTTGGCGAGCAGCTCCTTTTCCGGGGAATACCGCCGATCCGCTTCTCGGTGACTCCCCTTGCTGTTCCTGCCTCACCGTGTGGATCCTTCTGGTGCAGCAGGAGGCGATTGATTTACACAGAAATCACCGCCTGCACGCGCCACGGTGGTGGATACGTGCGATTCTGAAGATCCGATAGTGGTTAGAGATCGTAGTTGGACCACGGCGGAAGACTTTCATCCGTCGATTTAACCGCGATCAACGCCGTGCGTGCGCCTGGGACAACAGTGCCAGACACAAGTACAATACTTGAGTTACAGGTTGAATTTTAAGGAGTAAGAAGAAAACGACGATGAAGCTGGATTCGGTGGTTTCTGGAGCTTCTCAATGTGATACGGTTCTTTCCCGTCGTTTTTGTTAAAGCACCCGCCGTTATCAGCGTTGACTCTATGAATGTTTATCTCTGTGGGCGTGTTCTGTGTTGTTAAGATTGTGGTGGCCGAGTTTGGAAAGTCTCTTGCGTCATGAGTTTTGGCGTTTACTTTTTTAATTTCTATATGTCAAGTTTGGTTTGATTTATCAATCGTATATGTATCACGTGAATGTATAACGAGGGTTAGTATTTTCGATGTATAAGTTTTATTTTATCTATGGATTATGATAGTAAGATATATTCATAGTTTGTAGTAAGAACATACGAATAAGTGAGTATTGAACATGGTTCATGTTTGTTACCAACTTATGTTTTCAGTTTGTTTTTCGGTGTTTGTGGACCTGTGGTCGCTTATGTTTTTGCTTAATGCTTTCTTTTACCAGTATTAGTTTCTCACAGTATTAGTTTCTATATATTCTATATAAAACTTAAAAAGATAATAATTTATTTGAAAATCAAAATACATATTATATATGCTTCACTTTCTTCTTTTTTTTTTTTTTGAAAGGACATTCATTTTCTAATTTTTATATTTGTTCATGATGGAATTGATTAAAATAAAACAATCAGCTATGTTATATGTTTATACTGTATCTACCTCTCTACTGGCTAAAATTACAAAAGTCCAAAATACTTTTAAGACAATTTGCTTTTGAATTATTTCGCGTGTAAATTCTGTTTATTATTTGAGAATCATAGAGAGTAAGAAGATTGAAAAATGATTTGATGCTGTTGTACAAAGGGTTTGACTCAGCTTTCAAGGTATGTAGACAGTGCTCCTCAAGTCTATTGAGAATTCATTAATATGATCTAAATTAAGGATTGTTTATTTTCTTCCATGTTTGATGATACATGGCATCTCTGTTTATATGCAACAACAACTTAGATTAAGAAGATGGTAAAGGGAAGATGATGAAACACGAGTTTTATGCAGAGCTAAGAGGAAGTTTGTTAGATGAATAAGAGAGACAAAAGAGATATTAATCATGAACATGCCCAACTATCAGGCTTAAGAAGTCTATGTTATTTACTTCTTCTATACAAAGATCCAATTTTTCATGTTGTATGTGAGATATAAACCCATAAATCTAGCATGAGACTCATCACAAGCGTTGTGAATTGCTTAAAGAGGATAACAAAAGATCAACGTGAAATAGGAATCTATCTTGCATCTATCCCAACTCTCACTCTACTTCTCCAACATACATAATATTTTTTTTTTCAACCTATATAATCTCCCCTTTGGTATTCACACATTTAATTCTATACATTCCTATTATATTGTCTTAGCCATTAATAAAGTTTAATTTGTTAACTCTTCAAATCATAAATACAAAGTCATGGATCGTATGTCTCATGAAAAAAAGAAGAAGATAAACACAAAATGAACATGTCGATACATACCATGCAAAAAATAAACTCATTCAAATTAATAACTATTATAGTTGACACAATTCATCAATCCTATCAACTGTTAGACGATTTTTCAACCATAACGAGCATAAAAACCCAGAGTAACCAACAAAGATGATCCTAGACATGTATTTTACCAAACTCAGATAAACCAACATCATAATCTGAAATTGATTGATTCTACATTGATCAAATACATATATTCCGCGCGAAGCGCGGACCGGCCCTAGTATAAAATAAAATTATGTTTAGTTTCTAATGAATATGTCCAACAACATTTTGTCATTTACACTCTATTTTAATAGTAAACTAGATATTTTGCTCATAAGTGCGGGCATAATTCTCTTATGAATATTTATTGGTTGATGTTTCATTAATTTATTACTTGTGTTTTCAAAAAGTACAAATCAAATATCAAATAATTATAATGAGAAAACTCAAACATCAGAAATATTTAAAAGAATATATTTTTATAATTATTTTTCTTGATTTATATTTAATTATAATATTTACACAAATATTTTTACTTAATTTATATTTAATTATAATTTTTATATCTTAATTTTAAATTTTATAATAAAAACATATTTTTAAGATAACAATATAATGCATAAGTTATTTATTTTCTAGAAATATAATATGATAAACTCGTTTTAATTATATAATGTTTTATAGAAATGATGAAAAATAATTAAAATTACTTAAAATCATAGAGAACTTAACAAATTAGCAAATTCTCTTCTTAAATAATTTTGATTGAGTGATGATTTATATTTATTAATAAATAGATATTTTCTATTTTACTTTTAAATTATATAATATAAAGATAAATTTTCAAGATGACAACATAATACATAAGAATTACTTTATTTTCTAACTGTATAATATTATTAGTGTAAATTTATTTTAATTATAGAATAACTACAAATTTTTAAATCTCAATTTTAAATTTATAATAGAAAAATATATTTTAACAACATAATTTATAGTATCTTATTTTTTAAAAATATGATACTATTAATATAATTTTTTTAAAATATATAATAAATTATGTATAAAATTATAGAAATTATGATAAATAATCAAAGTTACCTAAAATCATAGAAAATATGACAAATCAGCAAATATTAAATTCACTTCTTAAATAACAATATAGATTTTTTACATTTTATTTTTAAAATTTATAATAAAAATATATTTTAAGATAACAACATAATACATAAGAATTAAATTATTTTCTAAAATATCATATTATTAATATAAATTAGTTGTAATTATATAATAAATAATAAACAAAATTAAAGAAATTATGATAAATGATCAAAAATTCCCTAGGATCATGGAGAAGTTGATAAATCACCAAATTCACTTTTCAAATATTTTTCTGATGATTTATATTTATTTATTAATAATATCATTTTTATATTTTAATTTTAAGTTTTATAATAGGAAAATATATTTTTAATATAACAACATAATACATAAAAATTCTCGTATTTTAGAAAAATATAAAATTATTGATATAAATTCGTTTTAGTTATATAATACATAGAATAATTTTTTATCTTAATTTAAAATTTAATTTTTATATATAAATATATAGTTCAAGATAACAAGATAATTTACAAGAATTATCTTATTTTCCAAAAATATGATATATTCAGATAAATTCGTTTTATGTATAAATAAATTATATAAAAATATTAAAAGTATAATAAATAAACAAAATTACCTAAAATCAATGAAAAGTTGATAACTAAGCAAAATTACTTCTTATATAATAGTATAGTTTACACGACAAAAAAATAATTCCACATGAACACAAGTAAAAAGTGAAAAGTATAACCCATGATAAGGAAAAAAGAAAACACATTTAGGGGATAAATTCATAAAAGAGTACTAATGATCTTATCGTATACGTTACAATATATATTTAATTATTTATACATATAATGCATTTTTATAAATATATAATTTGTTTGCCTACGATTTTTTTCTTTTTAAAATTATAAAAAAGGAGCCCTATGAGGAGCACCTTTTCTTCTGCTACCAATTGAAAGAACCATCCCAGGCAAGTAATGGCTCTCTTTCTTCTTCTTCTTTTTCTCCTTATTACTATTGTTACCTTGCTCCGATTGATCTGAGATTACCACAATATCGTCGGTCTCGTCCTCCATTGTTGATATGTCTCCGAGCTGATCGTGTCCGTCCATTCGTAAACTTGAAAACGTGAAATCCGATTCCTCGATACTATAGAGAATACTTGATAAATCATCTCCTTGATATAATAAGTAATCCACCTACACATATTTTTATGTTTTCATCAGTAATAAGATAAAATAACTGTCTTATATAACATAATAAGAGATTAGTCTTATATTGGACATGACATGATAGTTCATACACCTGGAAAGTGCCAACTTTGTACTTTCACATATGTTTAACAGAATTAAACAAATGACACGTTATCCAAGGAAAATATCACATGATTATTATAAAGAATGGAAAATAGATGTTCTCTAAACTTTGTTTTTTCACCATTAGAGAAATTATTTGTTAATAAACTATATGGGATATGGTTAAAAGTTGAAGCAATTGTTCTATTCTAATATTGTTTAAAAATTGTTAGAACAAAAACAATAAAACAAGTGAATCTCATGATTTAATGGGTCAACTATGACAACTTCTTATAACTATAATTCGTTGTTTTTCACTAGTCAGGAATATTTATTATTAGTACAAATTAAAAGTTTGAAGCTATTTTCTTAGGGTTCAAACATTCAAAAGTAAAATAATTCCAAAATGAATATGTTCTTTAACTGCAATTACCTTGCAAGAGAGGGAACAAAAGTGGAATGGTTCTTGGAGGATTCTATCACAGGTGAAGCAAACATTTGAAGAGACCTTAGCTCTTGATTGTGGTCTTTGGTTGATGAATATCACTTTAGCACCATTAATTGTATATGACTGATAAAAGTGTTTCAATTAATTAGTAACAGACATTTTCAACTATATAAAATGAAATTCAGAGAGGATCATTCACCTGAATATATGAACAATCTATGAGCTTCTCAAGATCACTCAGCCGAACGACGTCGTGATACACGTACCGTCTCACCTGCCAATTCACAAACCAAGGGCTTCACTGATAGAATATAAATTAATGGGGCGAAATTATAATTACTGAAACAAGCTTACTTACTTCCCTGAGCACACATGGTAACTACCAAGAATAAATAACATTTCATAAGTCTTATAATTAGATTTGCACCAATAATTGTCTCTAATTGTTATAGGGAATAGTGGGAAATGAATTTTAAATGACTACTTATATAAAAAGAAAGACTGTGGAAAGCAGTAAATGGTAGTGAAGGAAAAGGAATTTGGTCAAAGTTTGATGTTGTTTGAAAGCAACAGCTCAAGAGAAGTTGAGACAATAAATTGAAAGGAACCAAGCAGTTTTGAAAAAAGAAAGGATAAATAAAACAGGAGAAAAAGACACATACTATATATAGAAACAAACCAAATCCAAACAATAGACAATTCAAGTCCAATACTATCAATGATATATACATACATGATATAGTAATGTTTACATTCTGGATTGTGCTTTCAAAACTCTACAATAATAAAACGTAATTAGAGAAATGATCACGTGTTTAATTAGAGCAACTGAGTCAAATCTGAAGCTCAATTCGAACAAATTTTAAAAATGCAGAGAAAATTTAGGAAGATGAGTTCGGTCTTATTTAGAAAAAAAAAGAGGACTTCGGTCTTTTTAAGAAGATGAACATTATAGTTTTTGGGGAGAAGAAAACTTTTATGATGATGAAAGGTCCATTTAACTATTATAAAAAGACTTGTCATAGTACAAATTCTAAAAAGATCTATAATTTGCGTTGTAAAAAAAAAATCTGAAAAGATGCTGGAGATGTAATTATTAACGCAGAATTATGTGCATGTGAATTGAAGTAACTTATATTAATTACGCCAAAAAAGTAACTTATATTAATTGTACAGAGAAAAAAAACACTAGAAATTTGGTTTCCATAGACTTGAGAAACTTCCGAGAAAGTTACTGAGACAATTTTTTTTTTTTAAAAAACAAGGATTTTGAAAATCTTGCTGGGTTAATGATTTATATATATATATGTAAGTAAAGGTTTAGCTACAATCCAAAAACTCTCATGTGAGAGAGAGAGAATTGTCTTTGAGAAATCGATTAAAAGAAAACATACGTACACACAGTGGTTCTTGTTTGTATAAATTGTAAGTATAGATTTTATCACATTAAGAAATCGCAGGAAAATAAATATAAAAAACTTGGGTATTGAGAAATCGTGACCGAATCTAGTCACTGGCCATTCATAGTTCCGAAAAAAATCACCACGGATCAAACAAAATTTGAACACGAAACACACAAAATACAAAAGAATAAACTTGTGAAATTTCGATGGGTGATTCAATTTCAATACCAATGAAGGAACCATTTGTGAAAATTCTGTAAATAATAAATTAATGAAAATTATTTACCTGAAGAAGAGGATGAGAGCGATGCGAAAGGAGACAGTGAGGACAAACACTGAGACAACAGAGCAAGCAAAACACGTTCTTCTCGCTTTTACGGCGACTCTCGTGGATGCCACAGCTTGAGAAGAAAGTTTCCGACAGTAATCCTTCAAGCCATGCAGGTTTCGTCGCCACCACCATCATCCTCTCTTCCTCCTCGTGATCTTCTCTGACCATTTTCGATTTACCTGATAAGACACAGATGCAGATGTTACTCAATTTCGAAAATCCTATTCTCTAGAAAAACCCTACGAGATTGAGATTTTGACTCTGAGCTTTGGCTTTAAGTTATGTTTTGTTTTTCTTTGTTTCGGAGAGTGTTTATATAATGAGTGGATTGTTTTTTATACATGTATGTATGGGTTTTGTGTTGCTATGTACAAGAGGTTCCAGAATTATTGTCTCCTACGTATGGGAGAGAAAGTGTTGTTTTGTGGGGTAAGGGTGGGGGGAGGGGGGGGGAGAGAGAATCTCTTTTTAAAAAATTGAGAAAACGAAATGTTCCAAGAAAGATCAGATCTTTCTCCAATGGCGAAAAGATCAAATTTAAGAAAGAGAAGATTCAGTGACAAAAAGAAAAGAAAGAGAAGATATGATTCATCAAATAGGAAGTAAAAATTTGAAAAGCTCAATAAGAATTTTTTCGTTGGGCAGAAAACACAGTAACTCAATCTGGACTTCCAAGTTTTTGATTACCTTTACATGGAACAAAAAAGGTTATTGGACTGATCGCGAGAAGGTTATCTTTTCTTCTTTTGAAACTTTCTCTTAAATAATAGTATAAAATTACGCATGGAGTACATCTCTTGATTAATGTGTGTGTGTGTTCATTAACTAGCTTATGCAATTTGGTGAAAGGACAAGTGTCCCACATGATTAGTTTGTTTGGAGAAATCTCCCAAGGTTAATTTACAATTACCGGATGTGTTACTCATGTTTCTCTTCCTTCAATCTAGTCCATAAGAAAAAAGAGTTCTATTTTAGGACTCACATTTTTCATATCTCTTACATCATTTATTTATAGGTATTCATCACACTTAATGATCTCTTTATAGCATAATTACTGAACTCCACTCCATATTTATATCTTAAAAGTCTTGAGATATACAAATGGATTGATAAATATGGAGTGATAGTAAATCATGATTACGTTGTAAATGATTGTGACTAGGGCTGGGCATTTTATCCGTTATATTTGATTCGATCCGTTATTCGTTTCGATTCGATCCGAAAATTCCGGATATCCGTAAACTTTCGAATCAAAGCAAATACTAAAATTTAATATCCGTTAAAATCGAAGCAAATCACAAATATTAAAATTTTGGAAAGCGGATATCCGATCCGATCCGTAATATATAAATATATGTATATTTTGATTATATTTAAAATTTTAATTGTATAAAATTATAAAATTATTAATTTAGCACATGATTTTGAACAATTCTATTCAAATTATTACTTATATAAAAGTATTACATAAAAAAGATAAAATATTTTTGACAATTATATTTTTGTCTTAAATTTTTTGTTATTATAATTGTAACTTAAACTTTAAAATATTACAAAATCTATAAATTCACTAGTTCTTTTAAGTTTTATTTCATATATCATGCAAAAAAATATTTTTGCAAAGCAAATTTGTATCAAAATCTTNTGTACTAATTAAAATGAATGAGATATCCGTAAATATTCGTAAATATCCGCAAATATCTATTTATTTTCCGGATATCCGTTTTTCCGGATATCCGTATTTTTTCGAAGCAAAGCAAATACCAAAATTAGATATCCGTAACATTCGAAGCAAATCACAAATACCTTAAAAAACCCGGATATCCGATCCGTGCCCACCCCTAATTGTGACCATGCTTCTATATTATTTACGCTAGATATTTACATGATATCTCACCATGTAAATATCTCATATTCTCTTTTTTTTTTTAATATCTCATGTTCGTTTTGAATATCAACAAAGTTTACGATAAGGCACGTTGAGTCATTTACCTAACCTCTTCATTTAATTTCGAAAATGTAAAAGAACCAGCGTGATGAAGTATTCCATAATTATGAATTTTTGATAAAGAATAACAAACGTGTACGAAATTAAATTTAACCGCCAAATAAATAAAAACTCATATTTTATAGTATGTCTATTTTTGTTCTCTACGAAACTTGTTCTATATCTTATAATACTAAAAGGGTGTAATATTCAAAAGAGAAATATGACACGTCCTTTTAAAAAATTAGCCAATCAAGATCGGTTATTGATACGTCAAATAGGCTTCACCATGTCGACTTAAATTAATTTGTTATGGCCTAAACAGATCTCATTCTAGAAATCCAAACTTTCTCAGGATGAATTTATCGTACTAACCCTTTGTCTTCCCCAATTGAAGATCATGCAAACTCTATTACTGACAGCCACCAGCCAGTTCTAATCAATCAATTATCTTCTTTACTCCCGTCATTGTGTATAATCAATCAATTATCTTCTTTACTCCCGTCATTGTGTGTAATCAATTATCTTCTTTACTCTATTAGGGCATCTCCAACCATGACACCAAATTTGATGTTGAAATTAAACCAAATTTGGTGTTTTGGTGTAACTAGGTGATTTTTCCGTGCTCATGCACGGACATAAATATTTAAAATAAATATATTATAATAATTGATTGATATTTACTTCAAATTTAAAATTAATTTATAATTTGTAGATATAACTTATATTAATAATATTATATTAATTTAATTATATATAATTTTAGATATGTTATATTTCGTCAGTTTTATTGTTTTTACGGTTGATTTAGTTATCATTGAGATATATTAGATTCTATCTATTTCTCTGAATTCAACTATAATCTTTTTTATTCTAAATAAATTAAATTTTTGATTAATTGTCTTATTTGCATTTATACCGGTTGTTATCTTAGAAATATAAGTATATCCTAATTCTAAATTACATAGTTAAGTAACTAATAAATTTTTGCAAGCTAATGAACACATATCAATATTTACAATATTTAGACTGATTAGATGATAAACTGAAATTTATTTTAAATAATTTTTAAAATAAGGATTCTGATTTGTTTAAGTATTTTGATTATGGTTATATTAAGTTCCACAAACATAAAAACAGAAAATTAAAAATCAAAAGATTTATTAAGAAAACATATAATTTTAACTATTAAAATATAATATATCTACTTCGATAAATTATATAATGTTATGATATTTTAAGATAATTGTAGTTATTTGATCAAAATATGTTTATTATTAAAATTCATTTTTAGTTTTGTTTTTAATATCTTTTAAAACATGCAGTAAAAATGGTATTGTTTTTGAGAAATTATATTATATAAGTAAATAGAATTTATATTTTTCTGTAATTGTAAGATATTATAGTCAAAAATATACTAAAATAAAAAATATATATATTTCAAGAATACTAATTATAATTTTTTTTGTCAATTAAACATATATCATTTTATGTTACTTAATTATTTTATGTAATCATCTAATAAAATAGATATATACAAAAACAAATACTTTGAAAATCTATATATTTATTGTTTAAAATTATTTTTTAAAATAAAAATATCTTTTTTCTAATATAAAGATTAGTTGTGTGAACTTTTTTATGGAATCACATTATATACAAATATTGTTTTTCATCTATGAAGATATAATTATAAAGTATTTTAATACTTCAAAATTATATTTTATGTTATTTAGAATATATTTAAATTAAATATTACTGTTTTGTGAACTTTCCATTTTTATGAAACCATATTTATATATACTTATATTTTCGTTTTTAAATAGTTTTGTAAACTTTATACATGTTTCCTTTTTATTTTATATTGTTATTTGGAAAAAAAATTAAAAGGAAATAATAGTATTTTTATATATTTTTTTAATTCATTAAGGGTATCATAGTAATCAACCAGCGTGAGAGTTAACGTGAACGCGACACATAAAAAAGTGACTTCTCAAATAATATTATAGAGATATATTTTGGTCATCTCCAATCATGACACCAAACATTACACCAAACATTACACCAAAAGTATTATTATATATTATTTGAAATTTTCAATTTTAATAATTTTTTTATATTTTTATTATTTGTAATTGATAAATAATTATTTTATCACACTTACATATTATAATTATTATTATTTACATATTAATAAAATTTATACATTTTTTGGTTTAAAACTATTATATTTTTTGTATTTATTTTATATATAATATTATAATATATTCAAATTTACAAACTATTAATTATAAAAACCACATAATAGAATAATATATTTATTTTAATAAAAAAATATTAAATAGTAATACAAGCTTAACTATATTATAAAAAAATTAAAAGGTTATTTCAAAGTTTGTAAATTTAATAGTACTACATAAAGTTAATTATTTGTTATTAAATCTAACTTAACAATAATTTAATATTATTAGTTGTTCAATACTGATTAAACTTAAATAGAGATTATAATCGATATTTTAAAATAAAAATATGTTACAAAATAAAATATAAAATTTCTTTGGTATATATATTTTTTCTAAATAGAAATGAAATGAGAATAGTCAATTATTTATTTTTAAAAATAAAATGGTAATAATCAATTATTAATTTTTCAAAATAAAATATAGTTAATTATGTAAAAATAACTAAAATACAAATAATACAATATATTTATATATAGTTACAAATTTGAACTAATTAATAATACTAATTGAATTATATTATTAAATGAAACATAATAGAATATACATATTAAATATTCGGTGTGATGAATAGTGTTACACCAAATTTAGTGTAACACTATTCACTCTACACCAAATTTGGTGGAATGGAGTAATTTATGGTGTCCAATTGGAGATGAAATCACACCAAATTTGATGTTTTGGTGTCTCATTAGAGTTGGCCTTATATCTAGCATTCCTCTCTTTCTCCTTTTATATAAACTGGCTCGTCTAATTCAGCCATGTCATATATGTTAGGTCAAACGAATTGTTTCCTTTCTTTTCATCTTTATTTACAAAACGTTTGGATAGTAAACTTCTTTTTTTCTCACCAAGTATAATCCTATTATCGACGCAGCCAAAGTGCATGGATCCTGACACTGTTAATGACGGCTGAGCTTCTCTTCCCAGCATCGTGTTAT